CATTGCGTGTCCTACCTGCACGGTTGCACCTATCGCATTTCAACTGCACGTCCCTTCCTTCTCTCACTCGTCGTCGTTACGGACATACATGAACAGAGATTTGTGCGTTTGTTTGTGTACGCATCATCCTAACTCCCTTCCTAGTCTACCCCGATTCTTCCCCTACCATTTCTATCGACATATCTCGCTCTCTACTGGACATGATAAAAAATCTGCCCATTTATATATATCGCGCTTCGTATCCATATCGAGAAGCGAACAGTGTGGAAAGAGAGAAAAGGGGAAAATCGAATAATATATGCCGTGCGGAAGTGAACAAAAAGAACGTATTGATCCTCTTTTCCAACGGAAAGCGTTGTCCCAAGAGATTCGATGCGGACCAGCGAAATACGACTAGAGTAGATTTTATTACGAATCCTTTGTCGAACTTGATCGTTTAATAATATGAATTATTACATTTCGAAAACTTTCATCGGGAATATTAATAATTTTTGCGATTAATGAGAAGTCACGATTTGACATTATCCAAAATGACTGATTTTATCAGGTTGTACTGATAAGTCTAATTAGAATTGTTCTATGGTCGTTCGACAAGTGCGAGAAAGGAAAAGATAGATGGTGGTAGTTACGTGTAACACGCGTAGAGAAAGGTAACACATAGTACGTTAACTTATCCGGCATGCTCGATCGAAGTCTATTGCATTGCAAATACTCGAGAACGACGCGTGCGCACACGTCGTGACAAATTCATTCGTCGTACTGTGAACGTATGAGAAATTTGCCAGCCTGTACTTAATTTTACTTTTCTATCCATTCGTTTCTTCTTTTTCTCATTTCAAAGTATATAAACTTTTCTTATCAATCAACTACGATCGCAAGTGAATACAAAACACGATAATTTATCGACTTCTTTCAATTACATTACTTTGCATATCTTCTGTCTCGTTTTGCAAGAGTATGTCCATGAAACAAAAATTCAAAAAAAGATTCTTTTGAATTTGCCTCTCTATTAACTCTCTATAGTCCAATATTTTTTCATATCTAATATAATTATTTCAAGAAACATTAACGTTTAGATATGGTACGATCAATCATTAATTTTTTGATGAAAAAAATGAAATAAGACTTAAGAAGTACAGATATGCGAGTATATCACTTGAAAATTATATAGCGTTATAAAGGATTAATAAAAAAGACGACATGAACGAATGAATTTAAACTATTTCAAATTGATTTCTGTTAAAACGAAACGGATAAGAGCATCGTTTTTCGTGGCGTGCTTTTATAGGGATTTGTTGGAGATCGTTCCTATCGAGAATACTTGAAGTCTCATTCGTGAAACAGCACAGCATGCGAAATGACTTCATACGGATTATAACGGCCGTACACGCACCGTGTTGACGTCAAACCGGTCTTCATCCATCGAGGAGTACACGAAGTACCTCTTTGCCGACGTACAGCGAGTAGCTATTACTGGTCAGCATCGTGAAACTTACTTCTAACACTGTCACACGTGAAACAGGTTTTAACTTTTCGAGTCCTTCCGAGATCGTAACATTTCGCTAACTTGCAATGAAGGTCTTTGCGTTTCCATCAAGGACCGTTGACTCTTTAACGATTGTGCTAGATTAAATGTTTCTCCTATGAGCTGACGATCGATTTGAAAGAAACGAAATCTCGTAACGAAGATTTATAGGTAGTTACGATCATCGTCGAACGAGCGTAATTACAAACGATATCGAATAAGCTTTTGGCCCGAAATCATCTTCTTTGATCTACGATGATAAATAACTTTTGATCTGGTCTTTACCGATTTCCCTTGACCGAAGGTCGACTAGAAATGAAGAGACCAAAACCCATCGGGCAAAGAGAGAAAAAGTAAAAGAAATTAGACGACACGAAAGGTAGAAAAGTAAAGAGAGAAAGGAAGGGAGAAAGAGGAGAGAGACACGAAGCGAATCAGAAGAGCGTGACGATACTCCGTTATCGAACGTAATCGATAATACGAGGAAGCCGAGAACGGGAACGAGATTCGCGCCTTCTCGTTAGCTACATTCCTTCGTACCGAGGTCGAAGCGTCATGAAAGGTTAACCGAGTTGAACGAGTTCGGCTTAAGTTCAACTTCCATTTCGTCCTATATCTACCACCGTGAGCACCCCCCATAGTTTAATGATCTTACTAACTCAGACGGGCTTTTCCATTATTAGTTTGCCCGAGGGTAAACCCACCTGTCTACGTGCGCTGCCGCTCGAAAGAGTTCGATACGGTGCGAACCGCTTGCACGCTTTCTTTAAATAAAATTTATGCTTCGTAAGTTGAAATTTAAGTAAAAGTTTCGCTGTCAAATTTGTACACTTCATCTGGAGATTAAAAGACTGAATTGACTCAAAGATAAAGAAAATTATTTAATTTCTCTATCCTTTTTATCAATCAAACGTTAAATCGTTAATTAAACATAAGCTTTTGTTTTTGCGAAATGAAATAGAATACCATTAATTAAAATTGATAAATTATTTAAAAGGAGATAAATTTGTGCGAAAACTTAACGCATGGCGCCATCAATTATTTAAATACCGTATTACGAATTTGAATCGGTCGATATTGTAGATCAGTAAATAATAATAAAGATAAGAAAATGAGAAAAATAATTATTGAAAATCGATTGAATCGATTATCAATTTATTCCAATATTTAATTCTTTTTTTCACATATTCAATGTTGAAGATGGAAAATATCCTTATTAACATCAACGCACGCAAAGTTTGCTAGCCTCGAGCGATGTCTGCGTGTGATCTGCCTCGTCGTTATTAACTATGTAAGGAATATAAGATTTTCGCCGGAGGATGTTCATTAACCGAAATGCAAGGAAGGTGTGGAATTTTCGGTTGGTTAACGCGACATCATCGTAATTAACGCGTCGAATTATCGAACTACCAAATGAAAATTATAAGAAAATTACAATGCACTTTTCTATATGATAATGATCATGTTATAAGATCATATTATATCTATATGATAATTCATGAATATGTATGTATTCAAGTACTATATCGTCTTTACGTATTTTATAATTTAAATTGTACATTCAACAATTTAACCTACCAAATACACAAAGAAGTAGGAAAAAAAATAAAAACATATACGAGCAAAAATGCTCTCTGATGAAAACTTCATATAATAGGATTGCTCGCGATTGAAGCTCGTTTTTTAACAAAAAAAATAAATATCGTCATAAAACTGGGACAACGGCTTGGTAAATAGAGAAGATTTGTAAATGTCATTGATGCCGTCACATCGTTTTTACCATTGGTACCAAAATACATGGTTTGTATTCGCAAGCAATTCATTTATTCAAACCGTATCGTTAACAAAGCCCGCAAAACATTAAAAAAGTAAATTTAAGTGAATAAAGATATCGTTAAAAATCTAATTGGTATCAATACGTACTTGACAAATGTAATTATAAGATTTTTTTTTAGTTTATAGAGCCGAATTATTTGTTTCTTTTACAAAAATATAAAATTTATGAATCGATAATCAATTAATTATATTATAGACATCAATTTTGGAGCAGCTATACTTTCCTTAAAAAACTTACTTTATGAAGTCTATAACATAAATAAAGATCTATCCGTGAAGACGCATTAACATTAAGCAATATTGCTCTTATTATAAATAGCTAAAATATAATCAAATTTGTTTGACAAAGACAATATGCTTACAAAAACAAAAATAAACAATAATTAGATTGACATATTCCTAATGGGATAAATTATTTTATATATCCTTCTACATACATATCTTTTCCGTATCCTGCTCACATTCATATTCCTATCTAATCCTAGTCATAAAAATAGAAATATACTATAATCGCGCAAAAACGGAAAACTAATATTACAAACTGTATGTAAGAAAGCAATATATATTACCCATTGTTCGTAAAACAGGAAATGGATCTCCGTTTTATCGGTGGTCGGTAAAGTAAATGGTCATTTTTTAATTGATAGTCGATAAAATAAAACTCTGTTTTCACTTAGCCGTCGTTAAGTAAATTTCCTCGTTACCGATTTGATAGTGGAATAATTTCTGCATTACTGATTGATGGTAAAAATCTATTCTGACTTAGCGACAGTTGATAACGAAGGTTCTCATTTGTTAACTTGCCAATAAAGTACATTTCTTCGTAACCAGTTTTCCAGGAATAATCAGTCAATAAAGTAAATCTGTAATCTACTTTTTCATTATTCGGTAACAACGATCCTTGTTTTATCGACTATTAGTATTAATCCACTCAGTGTCGAGTTACCACTATTCATTACAATATTAGTCCTATTCCCTCTTTGTTTATCCTTCCATTTACATTATCTGTCATTGAATGTTTCGAACGAATAACGTTAATTGCATATTTAGAACTATGATGCAAATTAGATAATGAACACTTTTTAATTAATCGATCTTTAAAAAATGGCATATGGTTTTATCTTTTGTCATATATTTTTACTTCATTCAAAAATTTTTGTCATTAACTCGATCATTCGATTATAGCAGTAAAGTATATAACCTATATAAGCTTATATATCAATTCAATAGGCGCATAGTGGCGACAGTGTTTCTTATTGCATTTGTAGTTTATATTTTATTCATTCTTGTCGCTGAAGTCGCATATGCTATAAACAGGAGATAGTGAAATCCTAAATGATAATTTTTTCGTAAAATTTACTGTTTCAATGATATTTCATTTTTCATCATTTATTTTTTCACATAAATATATGACAATTAAAAATCATATATATTACGTGATGAATTTTTTCTTGAATATGTTATAAAGAGATTACTAATTAAAATATTTTTAAGTGAAAACGTATCATAATGTTCTATGTACTTTTAGTAGCAACCAATCATAGGAAAGGAAAGTTTATAAAGATGTCCACAATTCTTTTAATTAACTAATAAACTATCTGAAAGTATCATTACTTAACCAATAAGAACTACTTACTGAAATGTCCGCAAGATGGCAGAATAATTGTTCAATTGAGCACATAGATTGGCAGATCTATACAAATTCTTTTCACGTTAGATTCTCGTGGCAGGCACGTCGTTAGGACGGTAAGAATGTAATAATTATTTAAAGTTCAATAATTTTCGAGTATTATTAATATAATTTTTAAATACATTAAAAATTTCTAATTAACAAGATGTAATTAGCCATGTCATTTTTCTTCTTAATCTGAAATATATCGAAACAAAAACGTGTTAGAAAACAACTGCATCACGGCACGTTGCCAATAGCACATACCATGAACAAATACGTAATATCAAAATTTCCAAGCTTACAGTGAATCTCCTTTCTAATTTTTCATCCAAAATAATAAATCAATATAAAATTATCGAGGCAGTAATTAAGAAATTAGATTTGTAAGGTATCTCAATGAAACTTATATAGGTCTAAGATAAATGCCAAGTTATTAAGTAGTATGACATCTTTAAAATAAATCAAATTCTAAAGGTAAATGTTATTATATATTTTTATTATATATATTTAGATAAACCACTATGCAGATCTTCGTAAAGACCCTTACGGGTAAAACCATTACCCTAGAAGTAGAAGCATCTGATACTATAGAAAATGTAAAAGCTAAAATTCAAGACAAGGAAGGAATACCACCCGATCAGCAAAGACTTATTTTTGCTGGTAAACAATTGGAAGATGGTCGTACTTTGTCAGACTATAATATCCAAAAAGGTTAATTATATGATAATAATTTATTAATCATAATATTTATATATATATATATATATATATATATATATATAATAATTATTTATTCAGGTAACATAATTGATAAAATAATTTTATTATCTGTCAAACAGAATCAACGCTTCATTTGGTATTGCGTCTTCGTGGTGGAGTTATTGAACCTACCCTTCGTATTCTTGCACAGAAATATAATTGTGATAAGATGATTTGTAGGAAATGTTATGCACGTCTCCATCCACGTGCAACTAACTGCCGTAAAAAAAAATGTGGGCACACAAATAATATCCGCCCAAAGAAGAAGCTAAAGTAAAATGTATTTGGATTATTTTTTTTTTATCCAAATCATGGAAAATTTGGATGTCCATCTTTATCTATATTACACATTTTCTGGCAATAGTATGATGGACAACTCAGAAATATGTATCTCTTATTATGGATTGCAATAAAATCTAAGGATCAATCAATATTAAATAATTTTTTTCTACTACACACATGTTAAAAATAAAAATACTTTATTAAATATGCACAATATTTACAGCACGTAAAAGGAATGAATAATTTATAAATAATTTATAATATTATTATTATAACGGGTTTAACTTAAATTTAATTTAATTCCTTCATATAATTCGTATAATAAATTAATTATCTAATAATATAATTATCAGATCTTAGCTACAATTATTAGTACATACTAATTTTAATAAAAGTTGCTCTTGATTTGCATAATTTTTATAAAGATTCATGTCATTAGAATTTGGAATAGATCCACCTACCTATTTTAAACAAAGAAGTTTTTTAAAAATCATAATATACACTATCTTATATATTATAATTATTCATATACCTTTGCTCTGTTAACATATTGTTCATATATGTTTATGCTTGCATCTTTGATGACTGGCAAAGAACTAACAATTGGTGGTTGTGGGTTTTCTGGGAATGACGCTTGTTGTATCAATTTTGAACGAAGTTTTGTTTGATCTGTCGGATACGTTGCATTACGTCCTATTAAAACAAATCTGCAGAAAATATAAATAGTAAACAATATATTATAACTTTCATGCTAAACATTATAGAGCAATATTATATATATATAACCTTTTGTAGAGGATTATATCATTTCTTGCTGGATATTCTGGTTGCATTCCATATACAGTTTTCATTGATGGAAATAAAAGTTCAAAAGTCGTTAACTCTGAATTATCTTTAGATGCAAATAATTGTGACTCATTCATTTGTGGATGACTTTCATCTTCATCGGATGTTGAATCTTCACTTGAACTATATACAATAAAATTAATAACATTTTTATTCGAATTAAATATATTTACATATAATAATTATACCTTGCACTAGATGTTGTACTGCTTGTACTACTTTGTCCAGTCATAGATGGATTTTTCATATTCAAATTTTTATTACCAGTTTCTTCCCTTCGTCTACCAGGCCTTATACGTACAGCGAATGGACTGAAGCTTGTTGTGAAATGAGGCATAAAATCTCTAACTGAATGGCTTATTTTATATGCATATAAATCCGCAAGTAAAGATAATTCATAAGGCCTGAGCAAAAAGGATTTAATAATTTTTATTGTTTGAATTAATTTAAAGAATTAATAATAAATGATTATCATCAATTTTATTTACCTATGATAATCATAATAAACATCGATCATTTCTTCTAAAGTACTTTGTACTTGTATCATTTCAGAACAAGTTTTTGTTACTTCATTGAATGCATATGGTAGACATTTTAATATATTTTTGTTCCACCATTGAGTAAGTAATCTTCCTTTACGAAGATATTGACAAGCTGGCTTATGATGAAGATAATAATCTGTTAATAATTCCCATATTGAAGGTTTACCTTCTTCAGGTATAAAAAGCCCTACAAAAAATATGTATTTCAATATTTCTTTAGTATTTATAAGTCCTTATAAATTGACCTAGTAAAATAATGAATTACCTAGAAATAAATTAATTGTATGCTGTTTTTCTTGATCACTGAAGGTATTACTATAATATCTACTCAATGTTTGCATAATATCATTCCCTTGGCTAGTCCATGGTGCAGTTTTCCTTGATTTATGGATATATATTACTATCATTTTTTGTTGATGAATTAGATAAAAATTCTTGTCATTACCTATAGGTTCTAATTCTGTGTACTAATTGAGATCCACCATACTGTAAAGCTAATGTATCACCATGATCTTCATATAATTCTTCCAACATTCTTACACAATCAGAATCAAATTCAAGTTTAGGACTCTCTAATACTCCTAAAGCACATAACTGAAAGCCTAAAGCACATTTTCCTATAGCAAATTGAGCTGTATTAGTACGATCCAAACAATCCACACAATTTGTTCTAATAATTCCAGTTTGCGGTATCCCTTTCCTCGCGAAACAATCCTTTATATGATCTTCAATATATTCTAGATCATATGTTTTATTACATTCAACGGATGGCATCTCCAAAGTGTGAGTACTTAAGTAATTATTACATTCTGATTTTGATGAATTATTAAAAGAATTTCTGACGTCGTAAAAACTAAATGATAATCCAGAACTTGAATTTGTTTTATGAACTTTTTTAGCATTACTATGTTGAGGCATGAATAAATTTCTTTGACTATAATATGGATTATGCGATTGGAAAACACCCGTTTTTAAAACTGCATTATGAGCTATATTTGCTAAACGACCCATAACATTCACTTCTTTTCTGTGGAAAAATTGTTTCGTTTATTATTAATATTAAATTAATATTCAATTATTATTAATATTAATCATGCAATGCTTTCTATACTTATAATTCTTATAAATTACCGCTTCAGCATTCTTGCCATATCAAAACTTATGTACTGAATATGGTGTTCTGGGGGTAAAAATTGATTTAAATATTTCACAGCCATATTTAATTCCTCGCTTAATGTACTTTCATGTTTTTTCTTCTCACGTTTTTTAACAAGGTTCAGTATTATAATTGGTGATCCATACCTCTTAAGAAGTTTATTAAAATGTGCTCCTAGAAAATAATTTAATTATAAAGTTTCACATCTAAATTGAATAGACATTCGAATGGAAAATTAATTATTAAATCAATATATTTATTTTTAATTTCTTACCAGCTGTTTCTACATATGGATCAACTAAATCACAAACGATTGTAGGCTTTGGAACCATCTTACTGACATCTTGACTCCAATGACCAGGAACTGAGCCGCGCATTTGCACAAAAGAACTAAAGCGTCCATTATTTAAAGAACTCACACCAGAATCATGAACAATTTGCTCTGTTTCTACTTCATTTGCTACATCACCCTTAATATAAAAATTTATATATATATATAAGAGTTTTTAATAAATGCTATGAAAAATAAATAATACAAAACCTACATCAAAATTTGCACCACGCTTTAAAAATCTAGTGCCTGCATATTTATTACTTCGTCTAGCTATCAGAGCAATATAGACAGATCTTCCAAAAATGCTAACATTGGATTGTCCAATAAAACCATGTATTACATATAAAATCCAATCTCTATGGAGATCTTTTTCTACTGGTGCTAATAAATGAGAGTTCCATACAAACCGACGATGTGGATTACTACGTACTGCATAATCAATATACTTTTCCTTCTTACTGGAAAAAAGTAAAAAATATTACAGATTTTTTATGATTTCTTTTTATTATGTAAAAAACATATTACAAACCTATCATGTTGCCAGTTTTTATGAAATGACCACATATTAAAAAAATCTTCAGCTTCTTCTATATCATTATCTTTCTGATTTGCATTGTTGGGTATGTCCAATTTGATGTGTTTTGGTGGTGCCATGTTATATTGTAAAGTATGTGTCAAATCGTAGGAATAACTAAAGTAGAAGTTACTACTCAAATCAATACCTTGGAACATCTTTACATATCTTTGCTCATCAGGATGAAACAATCGTACAGTGTCATTCGGAATATATATCATTGTAGTATCTTCTATTTTATATATTGTGTGATGACCAATGAATGCCACTCGACGACGTTTCGTTACGAGAATAATATAATATCCTTCCAAGAAGCGTACAAAACCTTTTACAGAAGATTTCTTAGATAAGATTTTGTAAATATTTTTACAAAAAGAAATCTGAGAAAAGTATATAATATTTACTAAGAATTCTATTGTATTTATTATATTATACAACATATACAATTATTTTGAATTGCTGTAAAATAACCCACATTTTGTGCATCTGAACATGCTTTGTCTACCAATGATTACATTGCTGACAAAATGTCATGCACAGATAACTAATAATAGAGCCATGCTCAAGAAATTAATATACATACCATGTTGCATTATAAATTACATGTGCATAATTATTAATTGTGAATCTTATCTTTATAATGTAGCAGTTGTTCAAATATATATTTTAGAATAATTGAAACCATTGTAAAAATATTGATATATGATTATTTTAGAAGATTATTACAATTCATCTAAACAATAGTATTTAAATGGATATAGTCTAATATTTAATGATAAAAAAGTTATAGTTTAAAAAAAAAAAAATATTTATTTTTGGCTCTGATAATAAAAACCTCAATGAGCCTTACCAAGAAGACCAAAAGCTGACACTAGCCTGGGAAAAGTATCTCTCTGCCACATATTCTTCCAGGTGAATTTAGTTTTTGTTGGTTTGTGCATCGGCTTTTGTGACTGATGCTGCTCAGACTCCTCTGATATATTTGTGCTGGATTCTTTATTATTGCTGCCTTTGTTAGCAAGCATATGTAAATAAGCTGTGTTCTTTCATTATAATTAATAATGGTTCTGATATGATATAATTAGATTTTTTAAATTTCATAATTAATAATAAAATGATAAAGTTATATGGCATTTATAATATATAATATGTGTCATATAAGATAAATAAGTGCAAAGCTGAGGAGCCTAAGCTATTGCATTTATAAAACTATCATGTGCCATTGGCAAATTTCAGACTATTATATTTAAAATAATACTGTTTTAATGATATTGTGATAATGACTCGATAAATATGATTGTTAAAAAGTGTAAAAATTTCATAAAAATATTATTACCATAACAAATATTTACTACAGAAGCATGTACATGCAATGATAAACATTATAATTCTTTGCACACCATACTAGAACCTTTATTATATGTAATATAATGTAATATCTTAACTTACCAACAATACCAAAAGCTGAAACAATTCGTGCAACACCACCAACGTTATTGCGCTGTCCTATACGTGTACGATTACCCATATCTATCATATTAACGAGATCTTGTATTTCATCTTGAGTATATTCTCTCTTATCATCAATGACAAGAAGTTCCCTTGGTTCCATTCGATCAATTTTTAAAACACGAAATCGCGTTAATGTATTATTTGATCCCATTAAATAAAATCGCTATAACATTTTTATATTATATTATTTATTTAAAAGTTAATATTCTTATATTTACATATATATATATATATATATAATCTTACCGATTTTGTTTCATAAAGCGCAATTTTTTGTATAGAAGATATTATAGGATGAAATATCATATTTGGCACAGTATTATCATCCATTATTAATTTATTTAATTATAATTATATGTATTAATATTTATACAAAGTTATTTGTTATTAACTCGTTTAACAAATCATTGCAACTTATGTTGTTTAGGTTAAATCCTTGGAAACTATATACATCTAATAAATATTTTGATAAACATAATGTATCTTGATTTATTTATTCAATTTTAATCAAAAAATCATTTGTCAAATATATTTATTGATATCGTAGCCATGTATTTATTTAACACTCTTATTCGATAAAAGATATAATCTTAGATGACAGATACGTATTATTACCAACAGAGAGTGCTGAAATGCAGTTATAACTAAAAATTTTGGTTATCCGTCTAGATTTAAAAATTTATTTCTCTTTTGTTCTAAATCTATAGATTTAGAAATTTATATTAGTTTTGTTCTACGAATGATAGAAAATATCCTTATTTATATATATTTTTTTTTCATATTATAGTAAATGGATTAATTCCAATAGGAAGACAGTAAAAATAATATATTAGAGGATAGGAAGAAAAATTCAGTACAGAATTCTCTGATATTATTCTACTTTTTATTTTATACATAACATAATAATGTAAATAGCATGCATGTTACATTTTTATATATTTCTACATTATATACATATACTTAATTCTTTTTTGCAAGTTCATATAAAAATTTTCCAGCATCAACAAGAGCTATAGACATTATTGCAAGTGTTACACCATATAATATCCTATCTTTTCCTCCTGCCAGTCTATACACGGGTTTGTTCAAATCTTTCTGCATAAAAAAAAAAAAAAATGTGATATGATCATATTAATTGAATTTATATAAATTTAATATAAATGATCTTATATTAAGAGCAATTATATATAAATTCTATTATATAGATTACCTGGAAAAATGAATATTTGTCAAGCAACTTAGAATCAATGGTTGTTTGACCAACACCTTGTAGCTTAACTTCAACTGGTTTAGTCTTCATAGTGTCCCAAATTATTTTTTGTTCTGATGTATTTAATATACTAGGATTCTGTAGAAAGAAACGAAAATTTATCAGTAATAATAAATTTTAATGATTTAATAAGATAGAACTTCGTTTTTAACTTAAAATTACTTGAGTGTGTACTATATTAAAATTGCATTATTGTTTCCAAATCTTGTTCTTTAAATATATATCATAACAAATGAATATTAATAAAATCATATGTGAACACTGTTACGTGATCGATACGTCGTCTGCTGATTAAATATGGCAAGTACAGTAAAACAATTGAAATACATTTTGAATTATAAGTAAATTTAAGACCAATAGACAATAGAATATAGAATTATTTGATCGTTTTTAATTTCAATTGTTATTGAAAAAGAAATATAAATTCGATAAAAACTTGTTACTACATGACAAATCGTTGTTAGCAACGATCGATGTTAATTTAATAAAAAATGCACGAAGAGTTGTCAACTTTTTAATAATGATAAAAAAATATAAGCGAATAAATTTCAATTATTACTTACTAATGGATATAATGGTTGAAATCGTGTAGCCTCCTTTAATCGACCAGTAAACGGGTTAAATTCGTTGTGGGTCATTATCTAGTAAATGCCAATAGTTGTGCAACCTTCCGCAGCAGGCACTGAATACATCCAACGTAGATCGTCTCTAAATAAAACAGAAGAGATGGTAGTATAGAATAAAGATAGTTATAGTTTAAAAATTCTTTATGTCTAAATATGATTATTAACTGTTATTAACAGTTATCTTTTACTTCATAATATTGTTAACAATAATAAAAAAAGTTAAAAAAATTGCTTTTTTCAACTTTTGATAAAAAGTATAAAAAGAATGTTATTTTGGACTAATTGAAATACTGAAGAAGGAAATGTTAAAAGTCCAATTGTTTAAGTCACATACTGATATATAATAAATTTTTTAAGAAATATTCCTGTATATACAGTGACATCTACAAATTTATTAGAAGAAGGTTAGTCATTAGTTAAATATGCTCATTGAACATTTTGTATTTTTATGATATTTTTGAAAAAAAGATATGAAGTATTAAAATATAGCAAATTTTTAAAAATATATAATTAATTAAAAATTATTGAATAATATATAATAATAATATTTATAAACAATATACCTTATGTAAGATAATATTTTACATATAAATTTAGAAATAATTATGGATATAAGTAATGATACTCTTTATTTCTATGTTATATCATTGTGTAAAGTAATTTTTTATTTCATGATACTTGTATATGTAAAATAAAATGAGAGAGCAATAATATATATATAATAAGAAACTACTTTTAACATTTGAATATTATAAATATTATCTTTTATATATATAATTATAATTATCATCTAAATTGTCATGGTTACAATCTTAAATCTCCAAAGAGATATGTTATAATATAAGAAATTTAGGATATCTCAGTATAATGTTATTAAATATTGTATATGTATGATTATTACTAAATTTATTAATATACATGGTTATATTTTATTTATAATCTAATATTCTTTTTCAACATTTTTTTTTTTTAGTGTCAGGGTCTGCGAATCATTGAGGACAAAATGTAACACTTCAGATGTAAAATTATATCAATGAATATTGGTAATTAATATACTTAAGGTAAAGATTTTCTTGTGGTTTATGTTTCATTATTTATTTGTTCTTTATAATGTATTTCACAGGAGTAAATAATTCAATATTGCGATATTAGCGCCTTTGATTTTCTGTATTATCGACCGAACAACAAACAGTTGAAAACATGTCATGGCTGATCTTGTGATTCATAACAATGTGTTAATTTATTTTTCTTATTCTAATAAAATATGAAAAATACACATTCAGGATTACAAATGGTAAGAGTAATATATACCTATATAAAAAATCAAACACACATTTAATTTTAAGTCAATTACTTGGATGTATTATAAAATTCATATAAAATAAAAAAAAAAGTGTTATGTATATCTATCCATAATGTGCTGTTTAATAAGTATATATTTATTTGCATATGAATTATTTTAATAATCTTTGTAATTGATAGTTACATTCATATCAACACTTATAAAGTAATATTGCAGTAATCATATATATAGATTATTATATCTTAAAATCATGTCATTGACCTGTATACTCCAGGATCCTGTTTCTACCTTGAAACGTAATCAGTCCATCACACTCCGTAGCACACGTAGAATTTACAAAAAATGGGGAATAAAGTATCATGCAGCAGTAAGAGATGCTGTTTTTATGATGCATTCAATGCCACTTGTACCCTTAAAACCACCAGCATCTTTAAAATGTGATAATGAAGAGTCTGATTTAGTATATGTATGTCAACAATGCAGAGATTGGTAAGAATTTTATTTAAATATAAGTATTTCATTTTGCTTTTATATAATCTTATTCTAAGTAAAGAAAGACGTTCAGATTTTATCAGTTTTTTCAATAAATTTGTTTTTGTCTTAGCTTTTGGTTTAAAAGCAGCTTTGAAGATCATAGTCAGCGACACAGTTGGATTTTAGGATTTTGGTGTCAGAAATGTTTCTTAACAGTATGTACACATGTACCTAATAGTAACTCACCATGTGATCTGTGTGTAAATATTGAGCGTGATAAGCGGTCATATATGAGAAAGAAAGGTATCCATAAACATCAAAAAATGGGGACTATTAGAGTCTTTTATAATCAATGTCAATTTTTTGCACATCTAAGATTGCATAATATGTCTTTAGTCAATATATGTGATATTATGTTAATGCCATTACCAAATATGGAGATTGATTGGACACCTAAATTGGATACAGCTTGTGAAGCACTTTTGGAATATTGTTTCATGAAAAGAGTACATATCATGGATTGGTTTCGAGCCAAAAATGTAGATCATAATTGGTGGCAATTAGTTGAAAGTAACATCGAAGATACTGATAATCCTATTACAAAAATTTTAAAAACCTATAATGGAAGTAATTTATTTAATTCAGATATAGCAAAAGTAGATGCTGATTTGATTCCTTTGGCCGCAATGTACAGAACTAGTTCAAAATCCTCTACTGTTGGACTTACTAAAATAGCATTAGAGAAGAATGAGAAAGATTACAATAAAAATATTAAAAATATAAGTAATGTAACCACAGGTAGTAGTGTGCCCAATCAGGATACTGATGAAGATGAAGATAATCCTTGCTCTCCTACTGATATTACCTTTGTAGATTGTGATTCTACTTACAATACATATAGTCCATTTGCAGATTATTCTTCACGCAATAGTAAAATGACCAATTCGAAATATATGCAATATATAAAAAATAATACACAATCAACAGTAAACAAAAAACAAAGTAAGAAAAAAAAATTAAAGAAAGAAGTTGTAAATTACATTACTTCCGTTTCATCCTCACCTAATAGATCATCTAACTTCATCAGTACAAAAGAATTTTCCAATCAAAATTTGGACAAAGATATTAGTTATATGCAAAAAGATCTTGCACATAAATGTAGTGGTAATGCAAAATTATCCACTGTTGCAATCAATACACAAAATGGTTCTGTAGACAATATAATTAAGAAATCAATTACCAAGAATGCAAATTTGCTGCCTAATTTATCACATAAAGGAATAATGAATCAGGAATATCAGAAACAAAACTATCTGTCAGTTCTAAAAAATGATTCAAATTTACTAACATTCCAAGGTACAGACTCTGTGAAAATGAATGGACTCATTGCTCAAATTCCATCTCATCTTCGTGCTAATAATAAAATATTATTTATTGGTCAAGATATGGATGGAGTAAACAAAAAAGCCAATCATGCAATACTTGATGCAAAATTTCGTGAAAAAGACATAAAAACTATGTCTACCAAATTAAAATCTTTACATATGTGTAATAATGCAATATCTGAGGACAATAAGAATACTAGTAATTTAAGCAAAATTGCAATTGAGTCTAATAAAACAAAAATTCATCAAATTCCTCTTGAAAGTAAAATTATGTATCGAAATGGCAGTAGATATGTTATTGCACATACATCAAATTTTCAATCAAGCACACCTACATCACCTGATTCATCAAATAATATGCAAATTGTACGATACAATACAAAAAATCAAAACGGAGTAACGAAATTAACTTCAGTTGAAAATACATATCTTAACTTATCCGAAACAAATGTTTCTTTACCTACACCATCACCATCTTCATCAGAATTATCAAATAGTTCAAGTTGTGAAGCTCAGAGGAAACAAAACTTATCTATTGCTTGTACACAAAAAGGTTTAGAGACATCCAGAAATCATTTGAAACCGAAATTTAAACATTCTATATTGGATTTATTGAATGATGATGTATTGTGTGAAACATTATCGTTTCGTAGAGCCGAAAATGCAGAAATATATTTGAATATAAAACGAACCAAAAGTAGTACCAAACAGCTGAACGTAGTTACAACTGTAACAATACCAAATTGTAGACAAGACATGTTGAATGAATTTCGACAACTGAATTCCCTTGAAATAAAGGAACGCATTTTGCACTTGCAAGACGTCCGTACAGAAATTTTGAAAGTTATGAATTTTGCAGGCGATAGAGACATCGAAAATACATTAAAATCAATTAAAAACTTACAAAAAGGATTAGAGGATGTTCTTGAATCATGCAATCATGAATCTGAAGATATGAAGGATGTATGGAATGATCAAGAAGTATTATTGAATGAGTGGGAATCAGAATGTCAGTTATCTGGTAATGAATTGAGATGCGCCACGTGCAGTAAAATCATGAAACCTAAAACTTATATTCCGGGATTTTCCAAACCAGCAGAAAATGATACTATATATTGCTCATGTTATAAACATTTTTGTCAAGAATGTCGTAGTTATCAGGGTAACGTTACTCGATTCTTAACACATCAGAATTTTCATGAAGAAGAAAAGCCCTATGCATGTCCTGATTGCTTTCGAAGATTTCCTTCTTTTAGATTACTTGAAGGACATACATGGTCTTTTTGTTTTCATATGTTGAAAAAACGTGTTTTTTGTTGTAAAATATGTCAGATAGATGGTTTTCAGGATACGGAATCTATAGCAAGGCATTTTGCTATTATGCATAGTACTAAAAAAATAGCATGCGAGACTTGTTATATGGTATTAGATACGTACAGTGAATATAAAAGACATCGCGACAAAATGCATTCGACTGTGCTTAAATTTGAACCTATAAGACTGATGATTTGCAAACTAGGGCAATGTATTAATCGGTACGAGAAGTATATGATGCACTTAGAGAAACATTATGGTGTACGTAAAATAACATGGTTGAAATGTCCTTTTTGTTCATACTATAATCTCGAAAGCAAACAGTTCTTAATTCAATTCAAAATACATTTTCAAATAGTACATCTCAATCGTTTAGTAGAAATTATTAAACCAGAAACATTGAAAGATATTTTACCGACTAGTCTTTCCGAATGTTTATTTAAAGAAAAAGAATCATTAATTTATGACAATGAAAGATTCAAAAAACAAAAACATATTGATGAAAAAGAACGTTTAGGTTCAATCGTACCTAAAATATTAAACACGCGAACTATACCATCAGAAGATTTTGATCGAGTTTCAGAGAATATTGAAAGTATTACAAGGAAT